ATATATAGATACGGTTTTTTGAGTACCGGGGATAGACGCAGGATGAATTTTTCTAGTAGAAAATGCCGCAAACCAAAAATTGCAAAATTGTTGGTTACGGCGTTTTCATTAAGCACGGCAGTACTATATCAGTTTTTAAGAGTAAATTTTTAAGAATTCATATTAGCGATTTTTTTAAACAAAATCTAAGCACGGCACTGAATTCACCACCCCTCAAAACGACCCTATACTAAATTTTATTAAAACATTTTAAGTAGAAAAATGCACAGTAATAACTAAAAAAAATGATTCTGTCAAGTTATCCATGAAAAAACATTGAAATAAAATTAAACTAATAGTAACATGGTGGTAACATGGGAGTCGCAAACAAATGTGCCACACTGTATATGCTTTATATTTTATTACAAATTTTTGGTAGGTACTATGGTCCACCACGTAAATTTGTCAGTGTCAAGCTAATTTCGTCTTATTTTCTGAAAATAATGCAATAAATGTATTTTTTGTTTTCTAAATTAAGACAATACACAAAAATACATAATATATTATATTGTATTCTTTTCAGAAAATAAGACGAAATTAGCTTGACACTGGCAGAAAAATAACCTTAATTATTTGAATTAAAGTCGCGTGGAATTTTGGATGTGGACCATATGATGGTGACCACACAATCCACACATTGTGGATGACCATATGATCATGATGCCCAAATTTTGTTAAAAGAGTGTCATGTTTTATGGCTTCTTGTTTTGTTTTACTTACGATTTAATGTACCGGAAACCACAAACTGTATTCGGAAATGCCAAATTAGGAAAACAAATAAATAACAATTCTATATTTATTAGCTTGGGCCTTAAACCTTACCAACAATTTTGGCATTCTTGATTGTTTGGAAACAACCTGCTTCCACGAAATGGACTCAAAAATAATAAAATATTAGTTTATAAATAATCAAGCAAACGAAAAATACTCAACAAGGAAAAATTCTGTTTATTTTTAATTACATAATAATTTATGATTCATAAAACTTTTAATTTATGCAGTAATTTTGTTCGCAACTGTACAATACAGACGTTGCAAATTATGAATCATTAAACTCTTCAATGCATACAAATAGCCGAATTATAAAATTGCAATTAGGTTGGGCCACCATTTAGGCAACAAAAATGTCTTCATGAAATAAACATGTTCAAAAATTAAACTGACTTTTATTGTTAAAACTTGTAAATAAAAAAAAACTGTAAATGTATTAAATAGAGGTTTGTAGATAATAATAATTATAATTAGTTACAAATATTGGGTCTAAAATTCTTAGCTATATTATAAAAACGCATAAATAATTTGTTTTACTTTTGCAAACTCAAACAGATTGAAATAGAATATAACAACTGTTAAGTTTATTGCTACAAGAATTTGGCCAATTCTATCAAACCAAAGTTAATTTTATTAGTTTTTACATAATTTGCCAAACACTTGCAACTAAATATAATGCATTAATTCACTGTCCATTTTAATGGCTCCTTAAAAAAATGACCCCTAGTTTGAATGCCAACTTTTTTAGACATTGAAAATATTTTCGTCCCCGACTCTGAATAAGTGCTTTCTACGCATCGTAGCACACAATGGTCATAAACGTAATAATTTGGAAAAACACATTCATAAAAATTTTAATGGTCATTTTAAGTTTTATTATTAGATTAAATAGTTTAGATTTTAGATTAGTTAATAGAATTTTTACACAGCTTGCGCCATCTGTTAGGTGTATTACGAAGATATGTAATCTTGGTTGCATACGATGCATTTACTTCAGCAAATTTATTTTGTTTTAATTTGTTTAATATTACCGTTAGTCTATACAATTTGTTTAAATCTAATCTATTCATCTAATTTACATACATTTTCTTACATATTTTAAAAAATCCTTGGGTCACCCTGTATCTTTACTTTATGTCTATTATATATACATACATATATATTAGGGTGTGCCAAAAAAACTTGAAATAGTTTTTTTCTTGCTCTCCACCCAAAATATCGTAGAATATGTCCGAACAAATATTCTGTTAAAAGCGGAGCTCATAATTTCAATTTTAAGAGGTCCCTCATCGAATCTGAAGTTTTGCCGCTTAAATAGCACAGAAAACTGACCTTTTTACCTTATTTACTCTTGCAACCTAGGAAGAAATTTTTTTTTCATAAAATCCATGACCAAATCTTACAAAGCATTAAACTTGGACGAAAAAATCTTATTAAGCCGAATTTCTATTTTCATTATTTAATTTTTTACAGAGCTTTAAATTTAAAATTTTACGTTTTTTGCCTTTTTCAGCTAAACTATTGAAGTTAGACGAAAAAGTCAAATGGTAATTTTTTAGCTTGTCTGATGGACCACAAAAAAGTTTTAGGCGAATTTTTTATATCGTCAATATTCTAAAAGTTACAGGCGTATAAAGTCATCATTTTTTTATTATTATCTTTAAATTTAAAGCTATATAAAAAATTAAATAATGAAAATAGAAATTCGGCTTAATAAGATTTTTTTGTCCAAATTTAATGCTTTGTAAGAATTAGTCATGGATTTTACGAAAAAAAAAATCTTCCTAGGTTGCAAGAATAAATAAGGTAAAAAAGTCAGTTTTCTGTGTTATTTAAGCGGCAAAACTTCAGATTCGATGAGGGACCTCTTAAAATTGAAATTATGAGCTCCGCTTTTAACAGAATATTTGTTCGGACATATTCTACGATATTTTGGGTGGAGAGCAAGAAAAAAAAATATCGAGTTTTTTTGGCACACCCTATATATATATATATATATATATATATATATATATATATATATATATATACAGTATGTCTCAGTATCTTGGAATCATATGGAAAACTTTTTTATTATTAATTTTAGGAAAAAAAGTTATTCTTTATAAAAAGTTCTGCATGGTGTAAAACTTAAAATGCAACTCACAAATATTATTTTTTTTTAGTCGTATACGGGGTATGTCAAAAAATATGAATTTGGCTCAAGAGTAAAGTACCTTTATACAGGGTGTCCGGGAAAAGGAGGTCAATCCGTTAACCATATATTCCTTGAGTTAAAACAATAATACTTTCATAATACCATTTTTCAATTTAGAGCTTCATGTTCGATATACAGGGCGACAAAGTTTGAAATTTAAAACTGATTTTTTTTAATAATTCGAGTAATTGATAAGATACTAAGTTTAAATTCGGTACACTACTTCAACATAAATAGTTACATTTTTTGAGACCAACAAAACAAAAAACAATTGTCAAATAATCAAAATAGGGGGGTCCAGTACTCACTGACTCCCCCTATTTTTTAGTACGTGCGCCAATGACTTCCAAACGGTATTTTTTCAGGTAATCATTTATTGTTAAAAAAAATTTGTCCCTTATAAAATGTTGATAAAATGATTTGTTTTAGAGATAATTTGTAAAGTATGGGTCAGTCCATATCAAATCAACCAAAGGTTCTTCCCCCACCATCTCCGATTTTGATAATTTTTGGTAAATTTGTTTACCTCACTAAAAAACTCAAAAATCCCATATATGAATTTTTTTCGATAGGTGGTTTTTGTTTTATTGATTTTTGAAAATCAAAACATTCCGATAAATTTGGGTCTTGCAAGTACTTACAAAAATAGCGATATCTCGTAAACTATTAAAAGTAGAAAGGTGAGTGATTGCTTATTTTAAACGCCTATTAGAGAACTTTTTTATGATATATCACAAGACCTACATTTTTTCAAAAAAAAAAATTAAATTTTGAAAATTTGATATGGACTGACCCATACTTTACAAATTATCCCTAAAACAAATCATTTTATCAAAATTTTATAAGAGACAAAACATTTTCAACAATAAATGATTACCTGAAAAAATTCCGTTTGGAAGTCATTGGCGCACGTACTAAAAAATAGGGGGAGTCAGTGAGTACTGGACCCCCCTATTTTGATTATTTGACAATTGTTTTTTGTTTTGTTGGTCTCAAAAAATGTAACTATTTATGTTGAAGTAGTGTACCGAATTTAAACTTAGTATCTTATCAATTACTCGAATTATTAAAAAAAATCAGTTTTTAATTTCAAACTTTGTCGCCCTGTATATCGAACATGAAGCTCTAAATTGAAAAATGGTATTATGAAAGTCTTATTGTTTTAACTCAAGGAATATATGGTTAACGGATTGACCTCCTTTTCCCGGACACCCTGTATTTGACAATATCGAAAATTGTTATAAAGAAAAGTTAATCAGAACTAAAAACTACGTTCAAATATGCAATTACATCCATTTACATTAAAAAAAAAAATATTTTTTCTTTTTTGTCTACAATATCAATGCAAATTTAACTGTAACATGTAATCTAGGATTCACTGATAAACAAATGATTTGTTGATATTCTAAAACTTTTTGGCCTGCTAGATCCCCTGACTTAACTTAAGGTTTTCATGTTTTTTGTAATCATAACAGATAAATGTTCATTTAAAATAGAAAGATTAGTAAAAATTAACAAAACCTAATTTTTTAATGTAAATGTATGAAATTGCATATTTAAACGTAGTTTTTAGTTCTGATTAACTTTTCTTTATAACAATTTTTGATATTGTCAAATATAAAGGTACTTTACTCTTGCGCCAAATTCATATTTTTTGACATACCTCGTATACGACTAAAAAAAAATTATATTTGTGGGTTGAATTTTAAGTTTTACACCATGCAGAACTTTTTATAAAGAATAACTTTTTTTCCTAAAATTAATAATAAAAAAGTTTTCCATATGATTCCAAGATACTGAGACATACTGTATATATATATATTATATAGAAACTTTTAACTATTGGTTAATAAGATTTTTCTTCCTTTTGAGTGGTTTTTAATGTACTGAAACCAAATCTGTCCTCTATATATCCAGTTACATAATTTTTTGTATTTTCTTTTGTATCCTATTTTATCCAAATTTTTATAATTTATAAATATTTGTTTTTTAGGTTGAACAAAGGGATGTCCCTGGCATCGACAGCGCCTACCTCGCAATGGACACCGAAGAGGGCGTTGAAGTGGTGTGGAACGAAGTGCAGTTTTCCGAACGAAAGAACTTCAAAAGTCAAGAGGAGAAGATCCAGCTCGTCTTCGAGAACTTGACGCAGCTCGAGCATCCGAACATCGTCAAGTTCCACAGATACTGGACCGACACACACAATGACAAACCTAGGGTAAGCTTAAACATATTATAATTAAAACTGTTATGTACATTAGGGTGTGCCAAAAAAAAAGTTATTTTTTTTTCATGCTCTCACCTCAAAATCTCTCAGAGAATGCTCAAATAAAGCTTCTGTTAAAAGCAGAGATCCATATTCAAATTTTAAGAGGTTCTCCATCAAACTTACCACTCCAAATTACAAATCGATAATAATGCGCTTTCATTGGCGGCTTTAACTGCTGTAATATTACGAAAACGAAAAAATGGTAAAGAAAAAATTCGTCTTTAAATTTGAAGAGGAATTTACCATTACAATTACTTATATGTACATTAGGGTGTGCCAAAAAAATAGTTATTTTTATTTTTTCATGCTCTCACCCCAAAATCTCTCAGAGAATGCTCAAATAAAGCTTCTGTTAAAAGCAGAGATCCATATTCAAATTTTAAGAGGTTCTCCATCGAACTTGAACTTTTTCCGTCTAAATAACATGGAAAACATGGTTTTTTGACACTTTTTTGTCCTGCAAGGTGTGAAATTTTTTTTTTATGAAAATACATAAATGGACCTTTTTTATCATTAAATTTACTACAAAAAGTTCTATGAAGTCAAATTTTTATCTTCAATACTTGATTTTTGACAGAGCTTAAAACTTCAAATTAACGGTTTTCTGCATTTTTTAGCTATACCATAAAATTTGAAAAAATGAATATTTGTAGGGCTATAACTTTGTAGCTATTGGTGATACAAAAAAGTTGATCAGAAATTTTTGTAGGATTTTAAACGTTCTAGAAATCGGCTATTTAACATTTTTCTCTAACTCTTATGGTATAGCTGAAAAATACAGAAAACCGATAATTTGAAGTTTAAAGCTCTGTCAAAAATCAAGTATTGAAGATAAAAATTTGACTTCATAGAACTTTTTGTAGTAAATTTAATGATAAAAAAGGTCCATTTATGTATTTTCATAAAAAAAAAATTTCACGCCTTGCAGGACAAAAAAGTGTCAAAAAAACATGTTTTCCATGTTATTTAGACGAAAAAACTTCAAGTTCGATGGAGAACCTCTTAAAATTTGAATATGGATCTCTGCTTTTAACAGAAGCTTTATTTGAGCATTCTCTGAGAGATTTTGGGGTGAGAGCATGAAAAAATAAAAATAACTATTTTTTTGGCACACCCTAATGTACATATAAGTAATTGTAATGGTAAATTCCTCTTCAAATTTAAAGACGAATTTTTTCTTTACCATTTTTTCGTTTTCGTAATATTACAGCAGTTAAAGCCGCCAATGAAAGCGCATTATTATCGATTTGTAATTTGGATTGGTAAGTCAAACAATTTTGCGAATTAGAAAAAATACCAAAGGAAACTTCGTTTTGTAATTTCAAGAGGTATTTACCTTTACCCTTTGGACCGCCAATTTTGGGACACCCTGTATAATAAAGGAAACTTTTGTTTGGTAGGTCTTTCTATGCAACATTTTATTCATTCAGTTGTTATACATACATTAGCAGGGCTTTCAATTGTCCTAAAAGTCCTAAAATTCAGCATTCTGCCTAAATGTCCTATAAAATTGGTCTTGCCCTGAAATGTCCTAAAATTTGGCATTTTTTCTTTTGTTAATATTTAAAATTGCCTCATAATCAACCTGTAACATGATTTCGTCATGATAAAAACACCAAAACATTAGTTTGTGATCTAAGTTGCCTACTCTATGGTTGGTTGATCAAATTTAACGAATTGGATGATCAAATTGACTCATATCAAAAGAAAGTTAACAATTTGGACCAGCTAATTTCAAAGGGAAATGTAAATATCGAAAAAATAATTAATAGTGTAAAGAACACAATTAATAAATCGGACCTACAGAGTGCCTTTACTGCAAGTATAATTAAGCACTAAACAAAAGGAACTCTTATCTGATAGAATTAAAGGTTAAAAAAAGAAAAAAAACGCCGTATTAAATCCAAAACAGTGATACCCTATCGTATAAGACATGAAAATATTTTAGTTTTCTTTTATCAATATTGAATAAAAAATTGTTTATTTTTTTATTTTAGTATACCTACCTTAGGATAAAAATTATTATTTTGTTTTTGTTATCCAATGAATAATTTATTTTTGTCTGATAAATCGTTTGCAAGTTTTTAAATTTGTCTGAAATGTCCTTAAATTCTACTAAGATTTGTCCTAAAATACTAAAAACACCACTTAAAATTCGCTGGGAGCCCTGCAGTAGGTATATTAAACATTATTGGTCTTCTTGTATTTTCAATATTATACTTGGGGGTGTATTTACAAATTTTTTGGTCAAAAATAAACAGCGTTTAATAAAATTAATAAATATTAGTCTTAATATTTGGTATTAATTAATCTTTATCTTTTAGGTAATATTCATCACGGAGTACATGTCGTCGGGATCGCTAAAGCAATTCCTGAAAAGAACTAAGCGAAACGTGAAAAAACTTCCTTTGCAAGCGTGGCGTCGATGGTGCACCCAAATACTCTCAGCGTTAAGGTAAATATCCACCGCATAGGGCGCAAAAACCCCACCCGACTGCCTATGACTTAGTATACTGTAAGATTTATCGATGATTTTTTATATAATATAACATGTCTATACTAGTTTGTAAGAATATTCTATGTGTATTTGTTATCCTCCGCAATGATTGTATTTTGTAAGTACCTCCAGTCATTGTGGTCGATTTATTATTGTTATTATTATATGAATTTGGTATTGTGTTAATCCATGTGTTCACAGTTTCATCGTAAAGGTAAGTGGTATGGAAAATTAACTTTAAGTCCTTTATGTAACCTTAACATTGCTTTAGAATGAAAAGGTGGCTATTTTTCTGCAAAAGAATACATGATTTCGATCATTCTTTGTTGTCTTGGGAAGGATCCTAAATTTGAGGAAGGTAAATGATGAGTAAATTTAACTAGAAGAGTTCCAATTATAAAAAGTTATACTCTGTTTTCTAATTAAGGTTTCTTTTAATATAGAGTATACATTTCCCATATGTTTATATGAACCTTTCTACCTGAAATGACTCATTGTTTTATCTTCTAAACGATTTTAGATTCCTGCTGATAGGCAATGTATAGTAGTGACCTCGTTCGTCAAATATCGTATTGTTTTAATGAAACTTGGTCACTTAATTCTTTCGTCCAAAAGAGTTTGCAGCGAAGATCGGGCGGCGTTCGTCAGTTCTATGATCTGCAGTCTGTTTTCTTTCCAGCTACTTGCATTCCTGCTCTCCACCGATCGTCCACGGCAATCTCACCTGTGATACCATATTTATACAGCACAATGGCCTCGTCAAGATCGGATCAGGTAATCACACATCACAACAAACAAAAAAGCCAAGTATAAAAACTATATATACATCATATTGATTGATATTTATTGATTCAAATTTCATGTTTTTTCAATTTTATTATGTGCCCTTGATTAATCAGTAATTGGTCTTTTGAGCTGATTCGACGTTTTGCCGGCTCCCTTCTCTATCCGCCGAACCGGATCGTTACGCGCACGTCGGACTTTCTTGTCTCAACCGTTTTTTACACGTGCCTGGTATAGATGGCGCTGCTCAACACATTTGGCAGACAATTAACCCACTCTGATTGGCCCAGTCACGAGGTTTTACCTACTGAAAATTGTTTCATATGTAGCTTTATTAAGAAACCGAATGCTTATATTTAAAAAGGGTGATATGTAACAAATATTAGAAATCTTCCTCAACACAAAAACAAAACACAAAGTGCCAACGATTTTGGCATCTTCAGAAGCGAAGTGTAACTAAATCGAAATGCTAAATCTACCATTTTTATATTAATTATAAGCTAAGGTTGATTGAACCGTGGAATGTAACCGCTTCAGTGAACACGTAAAGAGAAACTAACAAAACTAATTTAAACAAACTAGAGTTGGGTCCGTTATCGCTATTAAAAGATTTATTTCTATTCTTATAGATGTATAAACTTTCTTATTATTCTTATAGATGTATAAACTTTCATAACTATCCAGCAGACTTGTTTACCTATCTTCCTTAATAAGTTTAAAGTTGACAAATCCTATTCTATGACCATCATCAAGTATATGTTGGGCAACACTCGATTTCACATATATGTTGAGGACAGAGACTTGATGATGGTCATAGAATATTTGACAGTCTTAAACTTATTAAGGAAGTTAGGGAACCAAGCCTGCTGAATAGTTATGAAAGTTTATACATCCATAACAATAGAAATAAATCTTTAAATAGCGATAACGGACCGGTAACTCTAGTTTGTATAAATTAGTATGTTAGTTTCTCTTTACGGGTTCACTGAAGCGGTTACGGTCCACGGTTTAGTAAACTGTGTCCGTTTTCGGTTCAGTCAACCTTAGCTTATAATTATTATAAATTTGGTAGATTTAGCAGTTATATTTAGTTACACTTTGATACTGAAGATGCCAACATTGTGCATTGTAAAAAAGTACTTTAGGCACTGTGTTTTGTTTTGGTGTTGGTGAATATTTCTAAAATGCTTAATGATTTTACCAACTCACCTAAATAAAAATTTTGCGCGTGGTCAATTGAACAATGTGTTTAAAGCATATATTAAGCGACTGGGCTATAATTAGTGAATTACTGCATAGACCGCTGTGTTTTAAACTTTGTGAGGCAAAAAATGCACCGACGTGGGCATGCGAGTTGTTTTTTGCACGGTGGCCGTTAATCCGTCCCTAGACATTGACGCGCCCGTCTCATACTGAACGCCAAAGTGTGCTACGGCCGTGAAAAAATGCCTCGGGATCGGATATTCTGTAAAACGTGACCGCTGCCAATCGACAATTTAACCGTCTTCGAAAGTTAAGTTTTAGTTTGTCTAGGATTTTTTGGGCAGTGGTGTTTGTTATGAGACCTGATTGAATTTGTGCTGCTGATTCAGTCAGTTTTGATTGGTACTATAATAAGAAAGTTTAAAGGAAAAATAATAAAGGTAATTAATATTTTTTCATAACTAATACGCTTTCTTAAAAATCGGTTTTATTTTTTTTAACAGTTCTGCCTAGAAACTAATGTTTGGTAACTAGGGATAACTATTTAAAAAATAATTAAAAACCCAGGATTTTCAAATTTAATTTTTTAAATATTTTAACACTTGTTAAGAATTTCTAATAGTCTAAATACAACAGTCAGTCTTTATAAAAAAAACCGGCTGGATTTTGGATAGGTATATCAAAAGAATAAAAAGGAATCGTTTTATGTCGTTACAAGTTTAAGAACAAAAAATATTAAGCTTGAAATTTTTAACCTATTTGATTATAGCCAAAACCTTCTGTAGTTAGTTCCTAAAAAGCTAGAGGATGACAAAAGTTGATTAAAAATTCTAAATAGAGAAGTTTTGGATATAATAGTATATTATGTAACAAGTTTGATAAACGCCATTTTAGTAACGAATTTAGGCACGAGAGCGCTTGCGAGCGAGTGCTTAATTAAATGAAAATTTTATAAACGATTTGCATACTATACTTTTTCTAAGACAAATACTTAATGTTATATACTTAATGTTATCTAAAAAATGACATTTTTGACGTAATTTTCACCATTAACATTGCCCATTATTATTTTAATTAAACTTAAAAATATTGATACTTTAAAATAACTTCAAAATATAATTATGTTAAGAAAATATTTTATCCTTTGATTTTTTTACTGTAATTGCAAAATATTATCACAAAGTATTACAACAAGGGAAATGTTAAAGGTACAAAAAGTGGCAGTTGTATTTATTGGAATTCCCGTTAAAATTTCTAACCTGGGAATCTACCGGCGTTAAAATCTCAAATTTTTTAAATTATTGTAAATTAAAATGTTTTCCTTGAAAATAGACTAAGAATCGATATAGAAGCAGTTAGTCCGGGAGGCAGTGAAGATTTTCGGTACTTATTTTCCCAGTCGGCAAACACCGATACAATTATTGGGTTTGTTATTCTGAGCAAAATTTATATATATTTAGGGGGGGGGTTTCCGATGGGTTAAGGCGGAAAATGCGTTATAAAGTACAAATATATTGCACTTTTTTTTGCAGTGATAAAAATAATTCCAGAGATATAGTGAACTTAAGAAAAAAAATAGTCTGGCTAATCTGTGAGTATGGGTAATATGTCTGGCAGGTGGAAAAATTATCAAAACCATTGCCCTTATTTTCGCAGTCCTAAAAATTTTGTGAGATGATAGTTTATATTATAATTACAGCTGCAAATATAGTCTGGCTAATGTGGAACACTCCGAAAGCCTTGCCAGACTCGTTCAACCCTCCACAGGCGTGCTAAATTCGGCATGTTCAATTATACAGGCGATTGTTGCCATCTCTACATGTTTTTACTTTTCATAATGTATGATAAGAAAATAATTTGTGTGAAGCAAAATTTAAATATGGCTAAAAAAAATGTCAGTCCGTCCGCCACCAAAAAACTTCTGGCGGGGCTTTCGTGATTGTAAATAACAGCCAGACGTGTATTTTCTACGAAATTATAGTATTATTTATCATGTGACAAATTTTCAAATCCGGGAAAATAAGAGCAACATTTTTGTAACTCTTACGATTTTCAAGATGCCGCCAGAACAATTTGCCAATTTCATAAATCAGCCAGACTTAATTTTGATTATAGTTTATGACAGTACCAAATAATGGGTTAAATTTTAAGCATGGGAAAATAAGGGCTACGTATTTCAAAAACCGGTCAAATTTTTGCTTCCGCAAATTTTCAGCCAGACTGACTTTCCTTCACTTGGGATGTGCCAGACTGTTATTTCCATTAATAAAATGACTCACTTTAATTAATGTGAAATATTTATGACTGGGAAAATAAGTGGACTTGACTTTTTAGCTCATCTAGTGAACCCATCCGAAAATTTTAGCCAGACACACAAATTGTCGTTTTGTGTCACCATTTGAACAAACTTAATGACATTCACAAACTGGGAAAATAAGAAGATAAAAATCTTCACTGCCTCCCGGACTAAGTTTTTTACAGTGGGCAATGGGCACTGTAGGCAAAATGTTTAACGCTCAGTTAAATCTAGTAAACTGTACTACTACGGCGAAATTAAAAGGACAGTTCATATAATCTTTTCAAATTTTGGCCTCAAGAAACTATTTAATACTTTTGTATTGATTAATAAAATAAATTTCACATTTAGTATTATTTTACAAGAAAGGCACTTTATTTTATTTTAACTAACTTCAGCCCGTGACTAAAAAAAAACCTGTTGCTAATCCCGTGACATAAAGCCACAATTTGTCAATGTGTATTTAAAAGGTCACTTAGTGTCATGGAAACATGTACGATAATGGGCGTTTTAAAGGTGGGAATAGAAAAAAAGTATAAGAAGTCTTAATAAAAAAATATAAAAAATAGGTTTTGTTAACTTAGGCGCCCTCTATCTTTTTTTATGAACTATAAAAACAGCAAGTTCTGGCTACAACAATTATTTTGAAAATTAAAATCTCTACATTTTTTGCCTGACAAGATAAAACGATTCAATTTTCAAATCAAAGGGAAAGCGCCGAATGGGTATTACAGAACATTTTACCCTTATAATGATTAACACATCCAAAATTCGGCCTGTTCGGATTGTACTAAAATCGTATTTATATCTTACTTAATAAGTTTCAATCAGATCGTATGGCAGCCACTTTGCAGATTATATCGTCGCATTTTTTTCTCCAAGCTGTTAAGAAAATACTTTCGAAGATGGTTCGACGTTTTGGTTCTGGCGGATTGTCGGCCAGCCGGCCACATTTTGGAGCTATCAACTGTGCCCACTAATTTCACTTTCGTTTCTCTAGTGGCTCCCGATTCCATAAACCATCACGTTAAAACATGCCAGGACGATTTCAAAAATATGCATTTCATTGCTCCCGAGCATCCTTGTAAGTACTTTATTTCAAAATTTTAAAACGTTATGTTTTGTTTTTGGTTGCTTGATTTGGGTTTTGTAAATTTATTTTGTTTTTACGGTATTTACGCATATTTTGTTTTTGGGTAACATGGATTCATTTATATTTTACGATAGATTTTTTCCATCAGAATTTAGTTGCCACAAATCAGATCTTGATGTTTGATTTTGTCTTACTAATTTATAACTCCTGTTGGAAAAAATCTAATACATGATCTATATTCTGTAAAACAATTTAGTCAGGGAAAATGTACATTTTGCTAATTTTTACACAATCTAAAAAAGTTTATTATTATAAAAAATTCGCAAAACATTTCCTTGACTGTATCATAAATGTGTTCATATATTACCCTTATTTGCTTTTACCAATATTCCTATATTTTATATCATTAATACCGTGTTAATTAATGTGTGTGGAAAGGTGAGGGTGTATTTACTTATTAACTAATAAATAATACCAACAAATATAGGAAAATTGTTAAAATTAAATATGATTTAATTTGATTTCGGTGATGGTTTGTTAGACCCCTGCTTGCTTCCCTTTTTATGCATGTTCTTTTTTTTACTATTCTGTACATAGTTCCTTTTATCATAATCATTTTGCTTTACTTAGTTTAGAGTAGATACTAATTAATTTAGCTAGTCGGCCATTTCAAGCTTACGTACGGGACAAATCATAAAAATGTTTTTATAAATAATAATTTATTATATTATATTATTTATTATATATTATTTTTGAATCAAAATTGTCAAATATATTCTTCTTTTATTAGGATATACACTTCGCGTCAAATTTAACGCACCACTAAAAATTTGCCACAATTTCAAAGTTGATTTTCTCGCGAACCGTCAAACCGAATTAGGTGATTTTTTTATTAAATTGTAGGTTTATTCTTCGGTAATAATACGTTTATTGAAATATTTTTTCAAATTTAAATTTTGAGTATATACAGGGTGCACGAGTGATAATACGTTTTTTTCCCGGAAATTTGAAACGCCCTGTGGGTTGTACCAGCTTTATTATATATGCTGTATATGACTCATGTAATTAAACTGTAGCCCTATATTTACTTAACATTTTGTTTTTTGATTCACGTCGCTATCTATTTTTTTAAATGAGATATACGGTTAAAGACTAAATAACTCCAGTTTAATGTAAAATGAAAGAACTTAACATAGATGGTAGGTCGGAAACGGTCATTTTCTTTGTTGTCTGCATAAAGTTATTGTAATGGAGCGGCAAGTGAGAAATTTGAATCGTGATGAATGTGTAAGAATTATTACATTGGCCGAGCAAGGATTAAGCTACCGTGCCATAGCTCGGAGATTGGGACTCCCAATTTGGGAGTTAATCACTAATTGTTAAGAAACAAATGATCATAACAGACGTGATGGGTAGGGAAGGCGTCGAATGACAACAGCCGTACATGATCGTTTCCTTTATTCGCATGCTTTGAGAGAACGATTTGTAACAGCAAGACTTAATTCTACTAATAATTTTTAAACAAGTGTGTCCACCGTAAGAAGACGTCTTGCGGAAAGAATTTTAGCTTCAGAATTCCAGCAACAGGACCGAAGTTAAATGCAAATCATCGTAGAGCAAGACTGCAATTTGCCAGACAACATGTTGGCTGGAATATTGAGGATTGGCAGCGTGTACTATTTACAGACGAGTCAAGCTTTTGTTTATCCAAATGAGAGATTTTCACAGTGTAACATTAGTGAAACCACGCTATTCATTGGAGGTTTTGTAATGGTTTGTGGATGAATTCCTTGACAGCTCGCACAGAACTCTTCATTGTTCGTGGAGGTACTATGAATAGTGTACGATATATCGAGGACGTTTTATCGGAGCATGTTGTCCCTTTCGCCCCGTACATCGGTAATAATTTTTTACTGCTGCAGGATAACGCAAGACCTCACACCGCCCATATAGTGCAAGAGTATTTACATCAGGTGGGTGTTGAAACTTTAGACTGGCCTGTAATTAGTCCGGATCTCAGTCCCATTGAGCATTTTTGGGATAATATGGGTAGACGACTAAGAAATCATGATCCCTTGCCTGCCTCCCTTGATAACGTAAAAAAAATGCGAAATATGGAATGTCATTGATCAAGGCGAGATTAGACATCTGGTTTCGAGTATGAGCCGTCGATGTAAGGCCGTAATTAGAAGTAGAGGCGAAAATACGCGATATTGATATTCTTTAATGTTGGTTTTATTGATTTTGTTCATATTTTTATTGTTATTGTTACAATCGTTCTTTTTACATTTTTTTATTAAACTGGAGTTCTTTAATATTTAACTGTATATTTCTTTTAGATAACGCGGTGAATTAAAAAACAAAATGTTAGGAGAAGATTGGGCTATAGTTTGATTATAAGAGACATTTGCTGTTGTAGTTGGTGCAACCCACAGGGTGTTTCAAATTTACATGAAAATTTTTATTATTACTCTTGCACCCTGTATATACTCAAAACGTAAATTTTGAAAAATATTTTAATAAAGGCGTCATAACCAAAGAATAAATCTACAATTTAAAACAAAAACTACCAAATTTGGTTTGACGGTTCGCGAGAAAATTAACTTTAAAATTGTGGCAAATTTTTAGTGGTGCGTTAAATTTGACGCGAAGTGTATATTAAATATAAAAAATTGCAAGAAATATTTTATAAAATTAGAGATAATTTCAATAATTGACAGGTGTGGATGGGACAAGATAAATCTTTTTTTTTTGTCCCAAACACACCTTTCAATTATTAAGATTATCTCTACTTTTATAAAATATTTCTTCCGTTTTTTTAATGTAATGTATAACCTAATAAAGAAAGAATATTTTTTAAAATTTCGATGACAAAATATATAATAAATAATCTAAATTTTTTTTATACAAACAGTTTTTTAATTCTTGCGTTTCGCGCGCTTGAAATGGCCGTAGTAAAGTAAAAATATGCAATGTATTAAAATTTTAATTTCTTTTTTGTGTAAATAGAATTTCTTAAAATTTTAATTATGCATTCTTTATAAAATCTAATAAATTCTAAATTAAATTATGTTTTAAATGAACTCTTTGTTCTATTACAAACATTTTTTTGTGGTTTTATGTTTCTAATAATACATTGTAATTTTTTTTTTTAATAAAACGCAGAGGATATATTAAAAGTATTTGTTTTAATAAATTCATATAATGTACATTAGTTTTTTACGGTTATATCCTTTGTGTTGGGTAGTTGGTGAATTTACATACCATTTGAATCGGTGAGATTAAAAGCAGTACATGTCCAAAAGTTAAAATTTTGACAAATTACTTCAATTGAATGGTGTTATGCAACAACTAAGATAATAGCGTCCGAAAAATTACGTTGTTCCTTCATTACTGTGGTCTTAATTATAGATTCAACGTTTTAATTTTATTTCCAAATCACTAATTTAGTACTAAATTTTTATTTCTTATTATATGTTTTTCATTATTTTCAATAAAATAAGTAAATTTGTTGGTTGGTCCCTTGTAAAATAAATAAAACTGATAGTTATTGTCTATTGTTTTATTATAACATGGAAACCATAATTTGGAATAAGGTGATAAATAGATTTTAAATCTTTTAATCTTAGCTCTGAGATCCTCCTGATCTTCTCTTATTTTTTTGTTGAAATATTGATTTTGTAAAATAAAACCATTCGTTTATTTTTTTCAACTTAAACCAGATCCAAGTAGCATGGATCCTTGTTGCAGTATAAATATACGTATACTATTGCGTTTAGTCAAAAGTAACGTTAACGTTAGCCGCTTCGCGCTGTATAACCTTTCACAATTTCAATATATAATTGTAAGTTGGCACAACCATGCAGCTTAAAGCTTGTTGAGATTTAAAAACTTTGATTATAGAGTTCTATATTATTTTAAATATTTTAATTCAGTATTTTTCCGCATGTTTTATTTCTTTAAAATATTTTCAAAAGGTGGCCCTACATGGCCCTATCACTTTATTACATTTATCCCGCTTTTTTATTATGAGGGATGGTTCCCTGTTGCATAACACCATTCAATTTATCTCCTTACAAAAATGCATTTTAAACTTTTAGATTGCTTTTAGAAAATGATTTGTTTAAATAAAAATTTCTTAATCTCACTGATTCAATTCATTTTAAAAGTTAATTGACAGAAAATTTTGATTGTTTTTGAAATTTATTTAAATTTAATTTTTAAATTAAAATTCAACAGAATGTTTTTAAGATGAATCTCAAATATTTATAGGCTTGTTTCCACCGAGTATTTGGACTGTTAAATGGAGGTCCAAACGCTTGATAGGAAAAACCTTATATTTAACAAAATACATTCCTTTGCCATTTTTTTGAATTCGCAAAATATCAGGAGTCCCAAAATGCATCTTAGTTAATTCAAAATAAAAATAATTTGTTATTTGTAACGTTTTAGCCCACAACGGTCCACCGATCGACATCTACTCGTTCGGCATGTGCGCGTTGGAGATGGCGGCGCTGGAGATAGTCGGCAACGGCGACAGCGGCAACAAGGTGACGGACGAGAACGTGAAGAAGACGATCGACTCGCTGGACGACGAGCAACAGAAGGATTTCATCCAGAAGTGCCTGCGGACGAGGCCGGAGGAACGGCCCACGGCCAAGGAGCTGCTCTTCCATCCGCTCCTATTCGAGGTGCACAGCCTCAAGCTGCTGGCCGCCCACGTATTAGTTAGGAAATCCGGTAAGTTTACCATTGGTTTAAAAACATTCTGTCCAAATTCCATATCAAAAACACAACTTTGCGCTAGATTTATGAAGAGTCATCTTTTATCAACATTTTTGTTGGGTAGTTGTGTAGATAGATAATGGATCAGGTTTAAGTTTAAAAGGTGGAGAAATATTTATAACAACACAAAAACAGGATGAAGGTAATATTGTATGTGTAGCATAAGCTCAGGAATGCAAGAACATCACAGAAGATAAGAAGAGCGACCCTCTCAATAGCCAATTGCGTACACCACAGGGCAGGCTTTATCTATTTTGTATATTAATATTTATATTTTTAAATTAAAGTTGGAAAAAAAGTAAGAATGCAAAGATATAAATTAAATTAAATCGGTATAAACACTAATTTAACAATAAAATAAATAAAGAATATACAAGGTTGGTAGCCGGCACTCGGCAGGAGAAATATCCACCAAGGCAGAGGGCACTTACGGTGTGTCTTGGCTGCCAACACTTCGGTACGGAAAACAAGACTCAGTATCACACAATTCTAAAGAGGTTACCAGGAACCTGATACTGACTCGGACAGAGACGTTTAGAAATACACCAACAAGGACAGGTTCTAGCAGCGTACTAACACTTCTACCCCCATTCATGAATCCCAATTGAATGGGGTTATTAAGTAATTTAGTACTAAGTCCCAGGTTGAGGAGGATTCTGGATTGTACTTAGTTTTGGGTCAGTTCAATGTCCTCCAAAAACCCTTCCTAAACTGGACGTATGGCCCGACCCGGCTGACAAAAATCCGTGGAGCGGCCTTAACCATAGACACTGTCATCCACGACCTCCTGGGGTGGATCTACCAGCCGGCGTAAAAACTTCGGATCCAACAAACACAGGTAATGCTGCGATTTGGCGGGATACGCCGGAGAACGGAAAGGGGGTAAAATAACCTTGGGAGATTAGTGGAGGATAATGTCTTTGGGGCCTGCCATACGTTCCCATACTCATACTCAACACAAAAACAGGATGAAGGTGAGCTTAAGGTGGTCAGGGAAAGTCATCACAATCACGGAAATTCGAGATTTTAAACTGTTTTTTAATTGAGGGATATATTTTATGCTCTAGTCTTACCCTTACTCCTCATTGCAAAAAATATGAAGATTATAAAATGATGCATTATTTACATTACATTATTTTTCATTCTTTTTTGAAAAATTTATGAAAAACTTGCTTTAAAATGAAAATGATTGGCCAGGTTGAAATTTTTTTGGCATTTCCAGCACAGCATGCAAAGATTACACAGGCCTAGGATTTTGAAGCTGATTTTATTTAATTTTGAGTCGCCAAATCCAAATATGAAATAAGCAGAGTAAATTGAAATCGGCACGGGTTAAATAGTTTACTTGGCCCAAACAAAATATAATTTATATACTTCAGCCCGTGACTAAAAACCTCTTGCTAATTTCAGCCCGTAACATAAAGCCACAACTTGTCAATGTGTAAGGTCACTTAGTGTCATAAAACCATGTACGATAATGGGCGTTTTAAAGGTGGGAATAGAAAAAAGTATAAGAAGTCTTAATAACAAATTATAAAAAATAGGTTTTGTTAACTTAGGCGCCCTCTATCTTTTTTATGAACTAAATACAGCAAGTTCTGGCTACAACAATTATGTTGAAAATTAAAAGCTCTTCATTAAAAAATGATGCGTTATTTACATATTTCTCATTATTTTTTGAAAAATTTGGGGCTTAAACTTGCTTTAAAATTAACATGATTGGTCCGCGTAACGGACGGGACTTTGTAATAGTCCCGTCCGTTACGCTTTAAATTATTAATTTTTAAGGAATTAAACAGTCAATCACGATACCTAATTTTGCCAAATAAAAACCTTGTTAAACAGCTTTAGTTTAGAACTATTTATAAAAATTTGACATTGGTAATATAATAGAACAATATTATTTTGTAAATAAAAACACGGCAACTCTCCTATCCGTTAAGCGTGGAATGGCCCAGTTAAAAAAAGTAATTTGCGAAAATGCTACATGTGCAGGAGAAAACATCGCGCCGTCTTTTAAAGGACACAAACAGATAAGTACCAGAGCTTAAAATTGCAAGATTTAATTCGAATTCTTTACTGATAAGCGGTCTTGCCTTGTCTAACAGTATCCGACACAAAATACACAAAAAGTCGTCTCGAAACGCTATGTTAAACAGACTGAGATGCTCAGTGAAAAGTTAACGATTTTCGCACAGTGAGGTAATAGTTATTTGTTTTACAACTGTTGAAAAGCGACTTTTTCATGCGAGTGTTTAAGTTGCTCACGAGGCCATCAGGCCGAGTGTTCGTTAATAAGAGCTTGAAAAAAGTGAAATACACTGTTTTTTCTATGACCCTTTTATTTTTAATTATATTCAAATACAAAACAAAATAACCTAAAAACGTGTTTGATAGCTGTTAAAATTAAATTCCAATTTTAGTGCCTATTTATTGATTTTAAGTAACTTATGCCTTAAAAATTAAAAGAATAAGATGAAAGTTTTAACAGCTGTCAAATACGTTTTTAGGTTATTTTGTTTTATATTTGAATATAATAAAAAATTAAAGGGTCGTAGAAAAAATATTGTGTTTTACTTGTAAGAAAAGCTTTCTTCAAGCTCGTGTTAATGCACACTCGGCCTGACGGCCTTGTGAGCAACTTAAACAGTCGCATGAAAAAGTCGCTTTTCAACACTTGTAAAACAAATAACTATTAAAACGAATGTCAAACGATGCTGGCAATTTCTTTTTACACATACCTGTCACTTTACATTCGTGTTTTGCCTTGCCAATAAAAAGATTCATTTTCTAAGCAACGATGCCATTACGAAATGTGACTTTTACAACTACACTAGGTCGTAGAAAAAATAATTTGTGTATATCTATTTCCTACATTTTGAGCTGGGTAAAATAACGACTGGCTGGATTGGATAGTGCTTATTTGAAGTCAATGCTTGGAAGAAGCAGCTGAATCTCCCTTGAAGTCAGCTGCTTATTTTGAACAACCCGAAGGGAACGGCAATACTTCGGTATTGAAGACGCATATCTGCTATATATAAAACGACTGACTTAATACGGTTGACTCTTCTTTGAAGTCAGTACTTGGAATGAGCAGTTTGGGGGGGGGCGAAAGAGACAATGCAGATGGGGCCATACGCTACTTATGTTAATGTTAATTTCTTTTTTACTGCGTTTCTTTTCTTTTTTTCATGGTTTTCAAGGATTGGTTGCTCTAATATTAAACTAACAAAATCGTAAAATAATCGTATCCGATATCGCTGGGCGACAAAATTTAATAAAAAAAAATAGCTGGGTTACACCAACTGGGACTAAAAAAAATAAATACAGTATGTTTTTTAATTTGGTTCCCTATACATGTATAAAAAATCCATTTTCACAGTATTTTTTTTTTATTAGAATTTTTTATATTGTCAAAAAATTCAACTTAAAAATATAATATCTCGAAAATAGATCCAATAAGAAAAAATCCCGAAATACGTATTAATTTTTTCCGGTCCCAGCGTAGCTATTATTACTTAATTTTACCAGTATAGGTATAAGTTATTATGATAAACTGATATATGCATATAAGATCAGTGATTTATGTTTAGTTTTTCTATAAAATTAAATTTTAAATAGATCAATATATTTTGGCGCATTCGCCATTTTTGTAACTTTTATTATATTAGGTATACCTATTTTTGTTCTTACTTGAAACCATATAACAGATAAAGTTACCAAAGTATGCTAAAAAGGTGAATTTTTAAGAGTATTGCCGTAATAATTTTGGCAACCTTTAAACTAAAATATTCTGTATTCTCAGTTGCATACATATATGTAGAAATGGCTAATTTTATAAAGTATAAAATTTGTATAAAAAAATGTTTTTGATGTTTCAAACAATTATTAATGTTTTTGTTTAATTTTTATTTGATTGGCCTTATGCACAAAACTTTAGTCAAATTAAATTTTAACTGATTAGGTAATAAAATATGGTAAAAAAATTTCTATTACACTATATTTCTTTTTTAGTATACTTATAATTATACAACAATCTTTTAAAAAGTCTGTTTAACCCATTAAGGACCACTATTTAAAAAAACAGTAAAATTTTAAGTTTCTTTTTCTACACCCACCTTTAAAATGCTCATTATCATACATGTTTCCATGACACTAAGTAATATATTAAACACATATTAAATACACATTGATAAGCAGTGACTTTATGGCGTTTTGGTCTTGGACTGAAGTTAACTTTAAGTTAGTTGACAGCAGTTTTGCCAATCTGTGAGTTATTCCATTTGTGTGGAAGTACAATTGTGAGTAAAATGTGAGTAGTTAGAAGATAACGTATATTTTCAGTTGCATTTCAGTGTATTTCAAGAGCTTTAGTCTCGGGCTGAAGTAAGCAATAGTGGCTTTTGAGCATTTAAGTTACGGTCCTAAGCATGGGCGCCGGAAGGAATTCGTCTAGGGGGAGGCCTTAAAGTTTTTTACAATTTTGATAGATGTTATTTATAATCAAGTTGTACTGTAGAAGTTCACATTAAACTTAAGTCAAATTAAATATCATCTTTATATGTATATTTACCTATTTATTTATATTGGTACATATTGCAAAAAATACATCACAGTTTTTTGGTAAATATATAAATATAAACAAATTGTATCGCCGAGGAATCTCCTCTAGTAGTACAGCCGTCTTATGTATACGCTATACAAATTATGATAAATTAAAATATAACAAAAAATTAAATACAAACATGAGTAATAGTTTAAAAATAAGTTATAACAATAACAAAAACTTAAACATAAAAAAATGTGGTTGCACTGTAGCGACTTTTTTAGGTAATACATATCGATGTTATGCTATAGCATGACATAGCTATGTACGAAAAATAAAACGTGTTACACACAAAAATTGCCTGTTATTACTACTCTAGAGTAGTAATAACAGGCAATTTTTGTGTGTA